ACATGTTGATGACGTTAAAAACACACAAACAAAATTTTTGGCTTTGTGAGTAAAAAGGGTGACCGTTTGCTTTTTTGTCTCACTCACTTAACATTTTTGGTCTAGTAGTCCATTAGGTAAACATTTGGATCACAATAAGTAAACAAAGCGAGCATTGAATATTGTATAATGCAAATTTGAAATAAAGAAATCAGCGTACCTGCAGTTATAAACATAACTTTTAACTGTCACGGTGGCTACGAACAGCTGGACTATAATCACGGAATTGAGAAGCTGGCGTGAGCGGAACACATTACGTAGAGTGAGCGTCCGCCATCGAACACTACAATTGACTGTTTGCTTGTCGAATTATTTAGAGCTTCGTCGTAGCTGAACACGCCAAAGCTATCCAAACTTGTATATCTAATGGTTCAGAAAACATCGGAATTCAAATATTTGATCGGTGTTTATATGGTTGTTGTTAAAGAGTGTTGTTGCTGGCTCGTTGTTTTATTGACCTGTTCTTATAATGATGAAAATGGATATTAAATTTCAAATTGATTAATTATAATGTATAAATAGATAAAGATATTCAAACTTAAAAGATTTTTATCTTGAAGATTTGCAATCACTACTACCTATGTGCACTGAAGTCAAGTGCAGCAGATGGTACACGCTTCTTGCGCTAAAACTTCGATTCTACTCTTATTGTCAAGTAGCTGAACATATCTGGCGTATGCATCGTGCAGATACAATCTGAAACTGTTGTTCCACAGAGAAATAAAATTGGATACGACTCAACAGATGATTCTGAATCTGTAGGATCTGTGTAGGTGTATCAACGATCTTGGTGGATATTATTTAGTATTGTTGTCGTTTTTGTAAGAGTTACTGATTTGCATTTACACGTAAATTGATAAAACCATTGGTCTTGAATAGTAGTTGTCCATATACAGTACACGTCATGAAGAATACACCTCTTTACGATTTCAAAGGCTCACCTCAATTTGGACATATGAATCCCTTGAAGTTATGATATTCGTTACATACATTAACATAGGCCAATTTAGATGCGAACCAAATAGTAGGTGTGTCAATAACAGCTATTTATTATCTATTTCACATTGGATTACTTTTAAAAGAATTGTATGTATGTAGATTGTTTCAGGTTTAGCCTAAATCAACCTATATAGTATACGTAAACGATAAAAGGATTTGTGGATGTTTCAGTTATTGATCACGATTAATTTCTACGTCCGTTATCAAAGTTGATTTAAATCTTGATGTTGATCGATAATAGTTTGTCAAAATAGTAAAACTTAGCATGCATGTGTGGGTGTACCAGTTATCGATGATATTATATATCGACGTCAGCTATAAGATGTTCAGAGATCTATGATAGTATGTCAAACAACAGAACACGACGCAATAAAGGATTGAGGCAGAAATTGAGTGTTGGCGTAGAGGAGGAGTAGAGGTCGACCACCTCGCTGTGGGTCTGGGTCATCCTAGCTTTCTTTGTTAGCACTCCCCCGCCTGTATCTCGTGCAGCGAGCTCTGTTTGTACTGTACCTGGTGGCCGAGCTTTACTGTGGTCTGGGTCATCCTAGCTTTCTTTGTTAGCACTCCCCCGCCTGTATCTCGTGCAGCGAGCTCTGTTTGTACTGTACCTGGTGGCCGAGCTTTACTGTGGTCTGGGTCATCCTAGCTTTCTTTGTTAGCACTCCCCCGCCTGTGTCTCGTGCAGCGAGCTCTGTTTGTACTGTACCTGGTGGCCGAGCTTTACTGAAGGTCTGGGACATCCTAGCTTTCTTTGTTAGCACTCCCCCGCCTGTGTCTCGTGCAGCGAGCTCTGTTTGTACAGTACCTGGTGGCCAAGCTTTACTCTAGGTCTGGGTCATCCTAGCTTTCTTTGTTAGCACTCCCCCGCCTGTGTCTCGTGCAGCGAGCTCTGTTTGTACAGTACCTGGTGGCCGAGCTTTACTGTAGGTCTGGGTCATCCTAGCCATCTTTGTTAGCAATCCCCCGCCTGTATCTCGTGCAGAGAGCTCTGTTTGTACAGTACCTGGTGGCCGAGCTTTACTGTAGGTCTGGGTCATCCTAGCCTTCTTTGTTAGCAATCCCCCGCCTGTATCTCGTGCAGCGAGCTCTGTTTGTTTTGTACCTGGTGGCCGAGCTTTACTGTAGGTCTGGGTCATCCTAGCTTTCTTTGTTAGCAATCCCCCGCCTGTGTCTCGTGCAGCGAGCTCTGTTTGTACAGTACCTGGTGGCCGAGCTTTACTCTAGGTCTGGGTCATCCTAGCTTTCTTTGTTAGCACTCCCCCGCCTGTCTCGTGCAGCGAGCTCTGTTTGTACAGTACCTGGTGGCCGAGCTTTACTGTAGGTCTGGGACATCCTAGCTTTCATTGTTCGCACTCCCCCGCCTGTGTCTCGTGCAGCGAGCTCTATTTGTTTTGTACCTGGTGGCCGAGCTTTACTGTAGGTCTGGGTCATCCTAGCTTTCTTTGTTAGCACTCCCCCGCCTGTGTCTCGTGCAGCGAGCTCTGTTTGTTTTGTACCTGGTGGCCGAGCTTTACTGTAGGTCTGGGTCATCCTAGCTTTCTTTGTTAGCACTCCCCCGCCTGTGTCTCGTGCAGCGAGCTCTGTTTGTACTGTACCTGGTGGCCGAGCTTTACTGAAGGTCTGGGACATCCTAGCTTTCTTTGTTAGCACTCCCCCGCCTGTGTCTCGTGCAGCGAGCTCTGTTTGTACAGTACCTGGTGGCCAAGCTTTACTCTAGGTCTGGGTCATCCTAGCTTTCTTTGTTAGCACTCCCCCGCCTGTGTCTCGTGCAGCGAGTTCTGTTTGTACAGTACCTGGTGGCCGAGCTTTACTGTAGGTCTGGGTCATCCTAGCCATCTTTGTTAGCAATCCCCCGCCTGTATCTCGTGCAGCGAGCTCTGTTTGTACAGTACCTGGTGGCCGAGCTTTACTGTAGGTCTGGGTCATCCTAGCCTTCTTTGTTAGCAATCCCCCGCCTGTATCTCGTGCAGCAAGCTCTGTTTGTACAGTACCTGGTGGCCGAGCTTTACTGTAGGTCTGGGTCATCCTAGTTTTCATTGTTTGCACTCCCCCGCCTGTGTCTCGTGCAGCGAGCTCTGTTTGTTTTGTACCTGGTGGCCGAGCTTTACTGTAGGTCTGGGTCATCCTAGCTTTCTTTGTTAGCACTCCCCCGCCTGTGTCTCGTGCAGCGAGCTCTGTTTGTACAGTACCTGGTGGCCGAGCTTTACTCTAGGTCTGGGTCATCCTAGCTTTCTTTGTTAGCACTCCCCCGCCTGTCTCGTGCAGCGAGCTCTGTTTGTACAGTACCTGGTGGCCGAGCTTTACTGTAGGTCTGGGACATCCTAGCTTTCATTGTTAGCACTCCCCCGCCTGTGTCTCGTGCAGCGAGCTCTGTTTGTTTTGTACCTGGTGGCCGAGCTTTACTGTAGGTCTGGGTCATCCTAGCTTTCTTTGTTAGCACTCCCCTGCCTGTGTCTCGTGCAGCGAGCTCTGTTTGTATTGTACCTGGTGGCCGAGCTTTACTGTAGGTCTGGGTCATCCTAGCTTTCTTTGTTAGCACTCCCCCGCCTGTGTCTCGTGCAGCGAGCTCTGTTTGTACTGTACCTGGTGGCCGAGCTTTACTGTAGGTCTGGGTCATCCTAGCTTTCTTTGTTAGCACTCCCCCGCCTGTGTCTCGTGCAGCGAGCTCTGTTTGTTTTGTACCTGGTGGCCGAGCTTTACTGTAGGTCTGGGTCATCCTAGCTTTCTTTGTTAGCACTCCCCCGCCTGTGTCTCGTGCAGCGAGCTCTGTTTGTACTGTACCTGGTGGCCGAGCTTTACTGTAGGTCTGGGACATCCTAGCTTTCTTTGTTAGCACTCCCCCGCCTGTGTCTCGTGCAGCGAGCTCTGTTTGTACTGTACCTGGGGGCCGAGCTTGACTGTAGGTCTGGGTGATCCTAGCTTTCTTTGTTAACACTCCCCCGCCTGTGTCTCGTGCAGCGAGCTCTGTTGGTACTGTACCTGGTGGCCGAGCTTTACCCTAGGTCTGGGTCATCCTAGCTTTCTTTGTTAGCACTTCCCCGCCTGTATCTCGTGCAGCGAGCTCTGTTTGTACTGTACCTGGGGGCCGAGCTTGACTCTAGGTCTGGGTGATCCTAGCTTTCTTTGTTAGCACTCCCCTGCCTGTATCTCGTGCAGCGAGCTCTGTTTATACTGTCCCTGGGGGCCGAGCTTGACTGTAGGTCAGGGTGATCCTAGCTTGCTTTGTTAGCACTCCCCCGCCTGTATCTCGTGCAGCGAGCTCTGTTTATACTGTACCTGGTGGCCGAGCTTGACTGTAGGACTGGGTCATCCAAGCTTTAATTGTTAGCACACCCCCTTTGTCTCATGCAGTGACCTATGTATGTACTCTTTGTTGCTGTGCTTTGCCGTAGGTTACTTTATTATTCTTTAATGATCTCCCTTGCACGACCAACCTTCAATAATAACTTAAGTAGTATACGTTTACGATCAACCCTTATTAACCTCGGTTGTTACACAAGGCACTTTTTTGTTGTGCTTAGTTTTTCTTACAAAATAAATAGTTTATCACGTTATTTTAATGGGAAAAAGTGCATACCACTCTTTTATTTCATGATACGTTAAAATTCTAAGTATACAACCTTCCAATTTTATCCTAGTCCGTTATTTCCCCCAACAATAGTTATTTTGACTGCAGTCATCTAGAGAGGCAATTACCTTTGAAATCTCATATATCAATATGGTAGCCAGTAACAGTATACCAAAAGATCAATCATACGAATTTACGAGTCTCTGTTCAACATATCAGTTATTTGTACAACGACTGCCTCTGTTTTACATCGCGGCACCTCACGTCTTGGCCTACAAACATTTCTGTTCTTGACTGTTGACCTCACACGCTCTGGCCCTCGTAATGATTGCTAAACGACGAGTTTCTTTTGTCTCGGGTTGATCTTGTTTCCGAGGACGACGACCTCGTCATGGGTCACCGGTCAAGCGGACAGAGATCCTTCGCTGGAGCCTCCAGCGACACCTCCGACATGCGAACTGGAGAAACTCCAGGTCTGCGGGACAGGAGGTGATACGAGTAAACTCCAGGAGAATAAGAAAAGAATAAACTCAGTGAGTTGGGAAAATTTGATTGACCGGGCTAAGAGAACGGAGAAAGCAGATGGATCATGCAATTGGGTTAACTAAATTATTTTGGACTAATTTATTCTATTATGCTACCAAGCACACGATGGTTTGAATCGTGGGGTCGACATCTACTAGAGTGACCGTCTCAGGGTTCACGGGAATTGATGTTCTTTTATTCGTCTCCAGGTAGAATAGGTTAATTATAAAACATGAACACACTTCTTCAAATGTGTTTTTCAAATTCTTGCGATTCTTGCGAAAAGTGGGGTATTGTTCAACGTGTTTTGGTCGCCACTTTTATGTATTCGAGCGCCATTATAGATTGTTTTACAGTAATTAAGGTTCTACTGTATTACAATTTGTTTGACCATTATTACTCTTTATTCTGTGCCATCGGAAATAATGTGTTCTACTGAATTAAGTTTTTTAATGCAAGGGTTAGGATTTTTTTCTAGATCTACAGTAAAATTAGGTCCCCTGCAAAACATACACAACAAACAAATCAGAACTCTTTGTATTCATACAAAATAAAATCCCAGATTTTACTATATGTTATTCCAAACAGATTTCGCTCCCCCAGCATCCACAAAGCAAATTGGATGGTTTATAAAACAAAGGCATGAAATATCGTCTCAATACGAAATCCTCGGGTGGAAAACGAAGTTTCCAAGTCGTGCTTATCACCGATGCGAGCTAGTTTGAAATAAAATCAGCTGTGAAGCGGTATGTTTTATGTATTGTCCGTGCTCGGAGTTCTATTCATGTATTCCCCTGTACGCCTCACTTATCTTTCGGAGATGCTGTGATGGCAGAAGCTTGTATTTGTGTCTCTCTCACTTGTATATCTCGATATTTCCCGGTTTTCCAAGACGAAACGAGAGTTTATTTGGCAGTCTGGGTAAAAAAGTGTCTCAGGATTTGCTGATTCCAGGATTTTTTCATTCGTGAAATATTAGGGTAAAAATTTGAGTTTATCTAGGCTGAGACTCATTTTCTGTCACTGTTGTTTTAATTGGATGGTACATTTATAATAACTATTCAATTCAGCGACGAGTTTATAAATAAAAACACGTTGTCACGATCCGTAGTTCCAAACCAAGATAAATCAATGATCTACTAGTGTACCTGTTTCTCGAATTCGAGCGATTGCTAAGTATTACAGGAGTTATTTTAAAACGAATAACAGTCATAGTTTCTGATGACTTTAAAAGATTTGACTCAAAGATTATGAAAATACTCAAGATGTACTTCAGATCGATATAATCAACATTTCTTGTAAATATCTTATCTTTTTTCAAAAGCTGATCTTGTTTTTAGTAGCATATTTTGGATGATGAATGTCGTGAGGGATAAGCCCTCTAATGCAGTTATAGATTGTGTCAAGAATCTTCAAGTTGAACACCATTGGCAACACAAATATATAGATTTCGAGGCAATTAGCATAATAATTAAAAATTAACTCTCTCCCTAAATCTAGATGTTTTAGAACAATTTAAAATATTCTAGAATTTCTTATAGGTACACCTTAATACTCGAATAACCCCTTCACTCTCGCAAAGGTTTTTTAAACAAAAGTAGTGTTTTCTAATCCGGAGTCAAAAATTACCATTTTAGTTTACCGTTGGTCTTTTATACTGTGGTTAAAAATTTCATTACAACCTCAGACGGAGGGCTTTTCAATCTATCGACCACTTATCCCTCTCGAAAATGACTCGAATTCGAATCATGAACTTCTCAAATCAAAATCCAACTTTCAACTCGGCGAGAAACACCAAACACTACCTTTACTGTTTCAATGTTAGACAGAGTGCTTTCGTCCATTATGCGAGAACCGTCTCGTTTTAACAGTTGCCATTTATTAACGACTCTGGATTGTCAGCTCCGGCCCTGATTATTTCAAAGTCGTTTATCCCTCAGTACTTAAACTTTTCCACGGATTGTCTTCTCTTATTGATTAGTTGTCTGCGTCAATGTTGGAACAGTTTTAAAGATTAATGTTTAGCGAGGGTCTTAATTCATTCTTGTCAGTAGTTGGTGCGAGGAGAGCATTATTGTAGATCCATTACAATGGCTCAAGTCCCTTTATTTTTGCTAAAACATACATATGAATTGCCTACTGCACATTCTACTTTTCAGGTCAGAAACATTGGTACTACTCTTTAACTATTGGATACGAAAATCATCAATGAATATTAATACTTAAAAGCAAGTTGAACAAAATGATCACAATTTAAGTTAAATGGTGCATGTTTGCGATCACGTGTTGCAATTCTATGTGTCTAGGAAGATTATGTAAAATGAATAACTAGCCAAATCCTACTTACTTACACAAATTATGCTTACTTACTTCTATAACTTTAAAGGTTATAAATTTAAAATAAATATTCCGATCAGTTTGGATTGTCTCGACAATAACCTAAAGATATTCAATAGATCCAGTAAAATAAGGGTAGCACCATTCAGGACACTGGCTGCAGAAACTCAGACACAGAACAACGGTTTGTAGAAAACTGCTTTGTCTCAAGTAATACAACATACAACCCACAGCAGAACCAACCCTTATTACTAGTTCTTTTTTCCTCGTTTAAAGTGTTTCTGACAAATATTGTTAGAGATTTTACGTTATAGTTTTTTGTAGTTAAAAGAAACATACGTGGAGTTGAATTTTAAAGCAGTTCTAAAAAATGGACGTTAAACATTTTATCAATTGCTTGAGTTCAATTACTGTTGGTATTTAAAAATATATTTACTTTGGATAGTACTAGTATTTAAAAATATATTTACTTCGGATAGTATTTTCAATAAACTTCAAATTCATTGAACGGAATGTTGGCCCATGAACCAACTGTATACCTTATCTTAAAATGAGCATTGTAAATAATGTACTTGTTTTACGTACATTGTAAATAACATAATTTAAATAATTTACATTTTCTATCATCTTTGTAAGCTCACTCTATTTCCTCTTTAAATATTGGCTTACCTTTACATTGTATATGATATACTAACTTTTTGACAATATTACTTTTAAAAAGTGCAATGTATAGGTTTAATAACATTGTACTCTGTCCAAACAAAAATCATCGTTGTATTACCCACTCTTCTGGTGTTTCAAAAATCGTAAAATAAGCCAACTTCACTTGCAAATGTACGGTTTAAATTTTAATGAAGGAATTTATAAAAGCGAAAAACTGGACAAAACTTTCAAGAGGAGTGTTTTTAAGGGTAAGAGGTAAATCCGTAGGTTTTGCCGGACCCGGATAAGCTCCCGGCCTCTCTAATCGCATAAATAAGCTGAACCATCATTTACACGATAACAGTTTATGTGCACTAATTTTATTGCTCGTAAAATTGATTAAATCTCGAAACAGGATTAACCATTTAATGTTCCAATATACTTTGCGATATTGCCTACGTTCTGGATACGTCGGTTTTACTGGAGATAATTCTTTATTGAAAACAATAATTTATGTAACGGGTTGGCAGGATGTTATGGAAAGTCTTTCATTCAATTTTTGTCGAGGTGTAAAGATTTGATATTTTTCTTTTCATAATGTTTCGATTAGCAGTAGAGAGAGGGCAAATGTTTTAGTGTTGTTTATATTCAAATGGAAATATGAATGGATTAAAATCAAACGTGGCATGCCGTAGTAATGATGCACATTTAACAAAACATATTTAGCTACATTATTAGCAAAACAAAACAACAGTAAGTATTTACATAAGACATATACAAACAATTCGTGAAATATCAATCTAATCATTTGTTTCGTATGATTAACATTAAGAAATTAATATCCTTTCATGAACAAACCGTTATATTATAAATCTAGTGGAGTTTCTACTTACTTTGGTATGGTTTCCGAAAATAAAAAAATGAAAAAAACTACAAACATAGCAATTTAGGTAAATAGTCAATTTACATACATTACGGAATTTTAGCATATGAAAGTATACATGTATTTTATCATAGTGGGACATTTCGAAATACCTATACACCATTCCAAAGCTGTCTCTATTGACAAATGACTGGGCGTAGCGGTGTTTCATCCCCTAAGTGCCCTGTACTGAGATCGATCAAATTATCGCTACAATACTATGTGGGGGTTGTGGTACCTCATATCCCCCCACCCCGACATAATCCTGCCGATTAAACCGACTTGTTCAACACTGATCGTGGATTGGCAGGATTTGTTGGTTACGGTGGTGGTTGGTCTTTTTTATAGGTTTTGTACGTAAATAAATTGTGTTATATATTTTATTTTAGTATATGAGTTCACTATAAGTACACTCGCCTTCTCAACATTTTGACTCATATATTTTCATGCTACTATCAACCCTACTCAGCTATAAACCAAATTTACCATCTGGTACAAATTTGCCAGAAGAAAAGATAGAATTAAGATACGGCAGTAGTTATGGTAAAGGTTACCGTTGGGATACCAATTAGTGGTAATACCCAAGAAAATTTGGAATTTTTAACAAGATCAGGGCTTGGAGGGTTCTTTACAAGACAATAACGGAACAATGGCAACGGATTTGGTAGAAAACTCGAATAAACCAAGTGTTCTTGTGCAAACCATAAACCACTATCAATTGTTATTATTTTAAATAATCTTTACTTAATTAGAAAATCATATTTTTTTTCACGCAAACATTAACACAACCATAACAATTGTTACAAGCACAAGAGTAAGTACAGTGGCACAAGTAGTTGTTGATGGGCAACGGAACATCTGCAAGTTCATGCTGAAGAAGTACAGTCACAGCTGAGAGCTAGGTACAGTCTGTTCCACAGTGAAGGGTCCTCGACTCAAGGGTCTTCCAACTCGCCACTAACAAGACGACAGACTTCTCTTTTATTTTCTGGGTGTAATTGTTGCCAGGGGTCTACTGGGCTGAGACCCTTTAGTTCTGGTTTGTTTCTAGAGTTGCGTGTGG